TCTATGCAGGTGGCAGAACTTCTACATTCACTTTACATTCTGCACTCATGGTGTTCCAAGGATGTGGGCTGGTTTTAATTTTCTGTGGTGTGTGGGTATGACCAAGTCACCTGAAACCCAGTGATGCTAGTCCTACCACACATCTCTCTGTCTTACACAGCAGGCTATAGGGAAGCTTTTAGGAAGACTACCAGAAAAAGAATATTCCCTTCTCTGGCAGTAATAGGCAGGAGGTTTTGTTTTACAACTTTGGGCCAACTGATGCTTTTTACCATTCTCCTTCAGGTGTTTCAGCGAAGAGTCCTGTGTCTCCATTCCTGATGTGGAAGGTTACGTTGTGGTGCTACAGCCTGATGCCCCCCAGATCCTGTTGAGTGGCAATGCCCACTCCGCTCATCCTGCATCAGACTTTGAGGCTCCTGATGGGGTCCCCCTGTTCCCTAACCTGCAGATCAGCTGCTCTATTTCTCATCAGGTGGAGGCCAAGAAGGATGAGAACTGGCACGGTACCGGTGAGTGGAGTACAGGGCGAGGTGTAATTGACAAACTGGAAAGCCCTACAAGAGCTGCTGTCTTGCAGAGAAAGCGGAGCCCCTCATTAAAACTGCAAGAGGGAGTTTACAAATACAGGAGCAAGGCACATTGTGTGCCAATATGTAGGCTAATCGGTTCTTATCCCTTTCTGCTCCTCCCCGTACTTTTTCTATGCACACAGTTCCTTTGCCGTACTCTCTCCTTTCCCAGGCTGCTAATTCCTAATCCCTTTTACATTTTACCTACATTTCCCTTTATTGAATCCAGCACTGAATGGATGTCCTGCCTGTTACCCTCTCCACTCCTACATTTATCCAGTCTCCTCCTGCTTAATTCTTTCCTGCTTTCCTTATCTCTCACCCCCTCCCACCTTTTCCTGCATCACTTATTCCTGTGAATTCCCCAGTCAGTTTTCTCACACCCTGTAACATCCTGCCCCTCAATTTCTCCCCATCATCCTCAGATTATTTCTCTGCACTCTATGCTCTACATGTCCTTTCACTTCTTTCGTATCTGGTAATGGTTTTTTTTTCCTCATAGCTTTCTCTTGAGAAGCTTTGCCTTCCCTCATGCGATGATAAGTTTCTTGACTTAGAACAGGTTGGTCTTAGCCCTGCTGAAAGCAGTGAAGTCAGGTTCACCTCACATTCAAAAGGTGAATGTGGTTGCCTCTTTGAAGAAAATCCCAACCGTGGTAATCAGCAGTTAGCAAGTGAGACAGGGGAAAGCTTTCGAAAGCACTTAGGGTCTGCTAATGTGTGATAGAGCTGTTCCTAATTTGCACATTGTCATTGTCAACAGAGTCTTTACAGCCAAGATGTGTTATCATGAACCAGTCTGATAATAGTGTGTTGTTCCAAAATTAAGTGACTTGATTATGTGCATAAATAATGTCATTAGAACCAGGGGGACTCCTACAACAAGTAATTGGACTGACACTGGTTTTATTCAAGGTCAGTGCTAGTAGGAGAAAGAGAAGCCATTACATATGATGTGAGCACTTTTAAGTAAATGGGTACCACTCTGAGTAACTCCTGCCTTCACTGATGGCTGGCTGCCTTTCTGGCCCTGTCTTCTTTCCATTTGCATCTCAGTGACAGACACACGAATGTCAGATGAGATTGTGCACAACCTGGATGGCTGCGAGATCTCATTGGTAGGAGATGACTTGGACCCAGAGAGGGAGTATCTGCTCCTGGATGGGGCACTGCTGCAGCAGCGGGGCCTGGAGCTTGTTAACACCTCTGCCTACCTGACCATCACAGGTATGTCCTGTCCTTGGCCACAGCTGTCTATGTCTTTCTCACTGTCAGGTATCAGTGGGAGAAGCACTTAATCTGATGCTAGAGATATGTTGGTGTACTCTGTGAGACTCTGAGGTTTGTTGAACTGGCTTTTGGAAGTCCCAGGCCATTTTCTTGGCTCCTCCTCCTCCAGCACACAGTAGTACAGGGCATGGTGCCCGAGTTCTCACCCAAATCTGTATCACTCCTCCCGACTTACTCCTTGGGGCTTGGTGTTCTCATGTGCCAGCATCACTTTGCTTGACATGGCTGGGGGGGACAGCACATCCCACTCATTGTGGATTGGTACAACTGTTGTACTCTCCAGAACTTAACAGGACTATTGCTTTTGATCCTTCCTTCCCTTCCACTTGTATTAGCAATGCAGGCAGGGATTTCTTTGCAGCTCAGCTCCATCTCTGCTCCCTTCCTAAAAATAATGAACCCATCATTGCCTTGGATTCCTCTATAGCTCCTAGTTGCTACAGGGTTATGATGCCAGATGATTTTGAAGCAGGAGCTTCCTCACACCACACCAATCCTCTCTTCTTGTCTCAGGTGTGGAGAGCATCGCAGTTTATGAGGAAATCCTACGCCAGGTCTCGTACCACATCAACCATGGTGCTGCTCTTTATGAAAGGAAGTTTCACCTGTCCTGCACTGAGATGAATGGACGCTACTCCAGCAATGAGTTTACTGTTGAGGTACATGATCAGTACATGCACACATAGGTACTTGTGCATGCATGGAGCGAACATGGTGAACAGGAATGAGCACAGTGTAGAATGCATCATGAACACAGAGCTGAGTCTCTCTCACTCTGGTCTTTCTGCAGGTGAATGTCCTCCACAACATGAACCAAGCTGCTCATCCTAACCATATTCTGAATTCCCAGCAGTTTGTGCACCGAGGCCATCATTTACCCCCAGAGCTATCTGGGCACAGTTTGGCAAGCACCCATAACAACCCAAGTATGTAATGTTATCTTTGGGGTTCATTCATTGGGTCAGGATGCTAATTTTCTGTCATTGTAGTAGAACTTACAGTAGAGGATTCCTTTCAGGGTCTCTATACTGCAGTCAATGGTGGTTTAGAGCTTGGTGCAACAATCCTTCTTTTGGTGTGTGCTTTCTTGATGTAGAAGCAGTTTGAAATCTACACCTGAGAAGGTCTAAAAAGAACAGCCATATGACACTGGGTAATGTCATTGACAAATGACATTGGGTAATGTGATTTCAGAAAGAAGCTTCAACAGCAAGAGAAAAACAAGGATTGACACCTCTCGACACCTCTCTAGAAAAAGAGATGGGACTAGGTGGTGGTGAGGAAGGCAGAAAAATATAGATGGCACCAGAGACAAGAGGAGGATACTTGCCCCCAGAGCAGAGGAAAGAGAAGCTGGAAAGCTAGACTAGAGATAAGAGTTGTTTGTTTGTGCTGGCAGCCCTGTGCAACAAGCATGACTGCAGACCAGCTCTAGGGCTGGTACAGAGGACCCTGTGTTGGTTTTGGTTCCCTGTTGTAGGGAACATGAAAAGCACCTTTGGTGCTAGATTTTGCTGCAGCTTCCTACAGCCTCTGATCCTGGTCCAGTCCTGTGGCTGGCACTGAGCCACTGCAGGGACAGCCTATGCATGTGCTGGGAGAGCATCAAAATCCAGCCCTTGCCTCTCCCTGTCCCAGCTCTGCCCTATTGCAGCAGTCAAGTTGTCCGTGCTGCACAGAACTACCCAGAACAAAGCCACAGAGAGCCTGGATGGATTTTTACAGGTAACAGGGTTATCTGGAGAGAAGAGGCTGGGCCTACTAGCCTAGAGCTAAAGGGTAATGTGCAGAGTCTGCAGGCCAGGACACCAGAGGGCATCTGGACTTAGGCAACCTGGAAGACCATGCTGGCCTCAAGCAAACATAGAGCAGCTGAAGGCAGAAACTGCCCGTGCCCAGGGGAGCACAAGAGTCAGGATTTTGGGTCCTGCCCAGACCCCAAACCTCCAAGCTCTGCCCAGGAACCCTGATTCCTGCAGGCCAGGTTGGAAACATGTTTCTGTGACAGAGTCTAACCATGGCTTCTCATTTTCTTTCTCCAAAGTGGTCCCTAGTGCTGCCACTGTCATCATTGTGGTGTGTGTGGGCTTCCTGGCACTCATGGTGATCCTTGGCATCCTGCGCATCCACTCCCTGCATCGGCGAGGAGCGGGGCAAGAGGTCCCTGGGGCTGCTGAAGGGGGACACACAAACAGTGGCAGCAAAGAGGGCGACATGTTCTGGGATGACTCAGCCCTGACCATCATTGTCAACCCCATGGAGGTGAGGAGCAGCTGCAAGGGCTGGGGCTGGGCCTGCAGCTGGTTTGCCAGATACTTCCCCTTACCCCATGTCTCACCTCCCCAGTCCTACCAGAGCTGCCAGGAGAGGGCAGGAGGCAGTGGCGAAGGCAGGGCTGGTGAGGGCATGGATGATGAAGATGACAGCACCGACTCGGAGACACCAGACTCGCCGGACAGCAACGACGTGGGTGACCGACACATCATGGGCAGAAGCGACGGCTCTCGCCGCTACTAGGAGCTTTAAACAACCAGTCCAATGGATCCCCCTAACATATGGCTGGAAGGAGGTGTCTTACTTTTAACTTCTTCCTTCCCGCACCGTGTACACATGCACTCCCTCCCTCATTTGTCATTTCTGCCTCCCATCTTCCCCCACTTCTGCCATTCCCATTGTGGACATTCCCCACATTACTGACCCTCCAGCTGGCTCTCTAGAACCATGTACTAGGGCACTTGCACATGACTGGCACAGTTCAAACTGTACTGAGGAAGGAGGGGCTTGGAAAGGACACCAAGATGGAAGGAGCCAGCCATAGGGTTCAGAGGGGGGTTTCTCACAACCCCTCCCCAGATATTATATATATATATATTGTATATTTTTTCAATGTTGTCGTTTGAGGTTTATTCTCGTTTCATGCAAAAAACCAAACCAAACCCAGTCAACCAACCACAAACCCAACACTGCAGCTTGTGTCGCTTTGTAAAGTTGTCAATACTACTGAAGTAAATGAATGAAGGGAAGAAGGATGAGGAAACAAAGTGGATTTTAAAAATAAATGGATTTCAAATAAAATGTTCAGGGCTTCTGCAGTTTTTCACTACAAGCAGGGAAAGAAACAGGCAGTGGAGCCTCAAATGTAAGACTGGAGATTGTCCAGAGCATTTATTTACTGAAATGACTGCCTTTCTCAGGGAAGGGTTACCTTTTTGACTGTATGTGTTGGAACAAGAAACACACATCACCCCTGACCCTGAGAGTCAAAATACTCTGTGTAAACACAATGTAGCCTTCCCCAGGACATGGGGCTAGGACCCTGCAGAGGAACAGAAGGCAGCCCAGCCTGGCACAGGCACGTGTTAACACACGCAGCAAACTGAATTCTTGATTACAGAAAAGAAAAAGTAAGGCTCTCTCCATACACTTAGTGCATCATGAACAGAAATAGGCCAAATCCTCAGCTTCATCCAGATTTTTTTTTTACCCAATCCGCTTTCTTTCTACATAAAAGAGTATTTTTCATACCAGGGTTCCAACTTGTAGCAGAACAGAACCAGCACTTCCAAGGGAAGGTGTACTCTCTCTTTTGGGAATGGAGGGGATGGGACACAACAGATATTGGCAAAACATGGCTATGAGCCCATTAGCATGAGTTGTGAAGGTAGTGCTTTTTAGCAGGTTGTGCTTCTTCCCTTGATCTACTTGGTCTGATTATTCAGACTGCAAGACAAAAGAGGCTGTCAGTTACCTGACACACCTCGGGGCAGTGGCTGCAACATGGGAAGGACCCAAAAGATAATTCTGCAATAGGACATAACCGAGATTGAGAAATCCTCCTTAGAGGCAGGAAGGTAGCACAGGAGGTGAAAGAGCCCCTCTAAGGTTATGAAAAGTCTCAGCTAAAGATCTCAACCTGCTGCAGTTCTCAGATGTCTGAGCTCTAGCCTGTCATGTCTGACTGTGCCCACTGGGTCCAAAAGAAGTGAACATGCTGAGACTAAGGTACTCTTATGCCTTCTCTTTTGTATCCTTCCCAGTAAGTGTTGTGCCCTTGTTTCATACAGGGAGCTTACAGCAGGCACTGTCAAACCAGGATGTCAATCCTGAAGCACTGGAGCAATTCAAGTCTCCAGAAAGAAGAAAGGCTACACTGTACACATCAGAGCCAAACACTCTGCACAAGAAAAGGCTTTTGTCCTGAGAATGCTATGCCCGACCCAGTTCTGATATGTGATGAAAAGCACCTCTCAGACCACTGAAAAAGACCAATTCTCAGAATCATGAGGTGCCTACAGCAGCCTCAACCAGCTGCTACAGTGTGCTTACAAGGTGGAAGAGGCCAAATGTACGATGAGTTCATAGGTAGCCATCATGATAGCTGTGTTTGGGATCTGACGGACCAAGTGAGCCAGGAGCCCTCGGTATAAAGCCAAAGGTCCCTCTTCATGGACCACAAGCTGCAGAGTCTGTATGAAGGAACGGTATCGTGACCCTTCTTCTCGCAACCGTGTCCGAATGACCTCTGGAGAGACAAAAAAAGGGAAGTGATATTAGCAGATTGATCCTATGGGCATGGCATCTCCCATAGAGGGGAAGAGAAGCCAGGGGAGTGGACCCACTCACCATGTGGATATGCAATGCATGAAGCACATGTTTTGGAGACAGCAGCAGCTCCCATTAATCCAAAGAAATCATGGCTTTTTGGTGAAAGTGTGAGTGGTGGGGAAAGGGAATGATGGCTGTTTCTCAGCTGCTGCTTCAGTGCTTCATAGATGACAAAGTGGATAATGGTCTCTGACACTCCAACATAGGAAGCAGTGATACCACGGTAAAACCCACGAAGGCCTTCAGTGCGGTACACATGCATGGCACACTGAAGAGCGTTGCTGGCCGTCTCCCCCTTCACCCTGTAAAGATGAGGGAGGGTTAGAACAGCATACTGCTCCACTGACGTCAAATGCTGGTGTGAACACAACTGTATGACTCTTCCCCAGCACACCTTGAAGACCTATGTCCTCATGGCAAGCCACAGAACCCTATGCAACCCTCCCTCCAAAAAACAGTCCTGATTTGACATGGAGCGGCTCTGCATTGCTAGCCTGCCTTACCTGGCTTCCAGCTGCATCCTGGTTTTCACTAACCAGATAGGATTGGTGAGTGTGGCAGAAGTAATGCCTGCAGAACAGAAGAGGGGAAAAGCCATGAGCACCAGGATCACGCTGACAGTTTGTGAGGAGGTGCTGCACTATCATCTCTCTGAATTCTGCTTGGCAAGTTGCAGGCATTTGCAACTTCAGAACGACCTTGAGCTCCCATGGGAGAAGAGACATTTAGGGGAGACTGTTCTTTTCTCTGCCTTCCCCATTCCAGCCTTTGTCTGTTGGTAATTAGCTCTTCTCCCTCAAACATAACCCTGCTACAGGTCCTTGTGTTACAAAGAGGCAGGAAACAACTGACTAAACTTGCAAGAGTGGAAGATTTTGTTAGAGAAATAGCATATATCAAGAGAAATAATATGAGTGGTCTAAATTACAGACTGCAAATTACAGACTGCCTTCTCCCTCTCACAGCTGAATGGAGCTCTTTTCCTGATAGCAGCTGAAGGGGTAAAGACCAGCTCCATGACTTGAAGAGATGAGCCTAAGAAGAACAAAGATTGAGAAAGCATTTTGGTTAGCCAAGGAACTCACTGCTCCAGGTGTGGAGGGAGAAAACTTCAGAAGAGAGAGCAGGACTCACGGGAGCAGCAGTGAGGAAGGAATGAAACCTGTTTACACTTACAGGCAGAAGGACCCCTTGACTCTGCTTTGAGACTGAAGAGGCTTACCTGCACAAGCTGCTGATAGCATGTGTACTTTCTTGGACTCTGGTACAAGGACAGCATTGAGCTTCTCCTTAACATGAGAATAGGCAGCAAAATATATAGCCCTAGTTGAAAAGAAATGCAGAAGAGGTTACAGCTCACCTATGAGAAGCAGAGACAGCACTGCTGTGTGGGGGTCTCACTCCAACTCTATTTACTCCTAGCAAAGGTTTGTCTAATGTGACATCAGATACCATTTATACTAGAATACTACTACAGAAATCATCTTATCTTAAAACTATGATTGGAAGGTTCAGAAAACGTCTGTGTGAAGCGGTCCTGTGACCCAATGAGCACAAGGCCCAGACTGCTTCCTGAATGTGGAGCAATAGCTGTCACGGAGGTCCTCTAAAATGTGTACAGCATGAGCTATCCTCAGGGAGCAGTACTCACCGGGAAGGAGCAACCCCAACAAGGTTGGGACCCAGACCTCGGAACAGGGATCGCACACCTTCCTTCTCAATAATGGCCCTACAGAAGGAAATGAGCAGACACATCAGCAGAATAACTAAGCTATGGGCTCTCCTGTTCCTCTTCCTTCTTTGTTCTTCAACACTTCTTGTAGCATCTTCTCCTCCCCTCCTGTGTTATCCTTTTCCTGCTCTACTCTCATTTTCCCTCTACCTGCTTTCTCTCTCCCTTAGTTGTTTCTCCCTGTTCTCGCTGACACCATCACTCTGGGTCTGATCAAACCACTAACTGAGAAATTTCTGTCCCAACAGCTCCCCTGCAGATGCAAAGCACCAATCAACTGTGAGAAGCAGATATATCTGTGCTCTGACCAAACCTCTTACTGTACTTGCAATTTCCAGAGCCTCAGCTGAAAATCCATCTCCCCCTCTTGATCGTGCTCCCTCTCCCCTCACCCAATGGCTAAACCTTCACCTCCCTGGTGCTAACATGCACACTGTCCCATCTTACTCACCTCAGCAGCTTCAGCACTCCAGGAGATGGGGTGGGGTTCATCAGCCTCACACTCATCCCTGGTAGGTGTATCTCTGAGAGGCACAGAGGCCGCAGTACCAGTTGGGATGACTGTAGTCGTGTCTTCACCACTTCCAAGGGACAGGTCAGGATGGCTCCAGCTGTGCCACCACATCTAGGGCATACAAAGACATAAGGCATACAAAGACATAATAGCAAATGTAAGAATGATCCCTGTGCAGTAACAGGGCAGTATTTTTGACCCTGCTTGCCCACAACCTTCAGCTCTCTAGGAGAGGAGAGCTGACCTCTCCCCCAGCCTGCCCTCCTGCTCTGACATTGATTAACGTCATAACGGCTCAGCTGGGGACATCTCCTGGCAGCCTCACCTGAAACCTCACGCAGTATTTGAGATAAACAGTCCCAAGTCCACAGGGACTCAGCAGTCCCCAACTCAAAGCTGCTGATCTTTGTATTCAGACTTTCCCAGAGCAAACATTTCTGCTGCCCAAACTCACGGCAATGCCTTCTGCTGAGACGACCAGGCACTGTGCCTCTCATCTCCCCGCAGCTGCACTGCCTCGGAGAGTGGCAGCACAATACTCTCCCACCCCACAGCCTGCCTATGTTTTCAACACATAGCCAATTCAGCCCTACACGTGGAAGGCCCTATAAACAAGATATGTATTTGCTGCTAACAGCCAGGCTTCCCCCAGTCTGACTTGCTTAAGGAAAGATGACCCTGACCTTCAGCAACCTTCAGCAGACAGAAGCTATTTTTGGAACTCAGGAACCACCACCATCAGTCTAGTCACACCTCAGTAATGCTGAAAGGATGCACATCTGCTTTTCCCCTTCTACCACCCAGGAACAAGTTGGAACTGATATATTTGGTTCTCTGCTTCTGCCCCTTCTGATCCTTTGACTGACAACTGTTCTTCTAGAGGATGCTCAGTACCTGAAATACTGTTTTGAGATTAATTTGCATGAAACAGCCATGCTGAAGGTGTTGACAGACAGGGTTGGAAGGGACCTAAAGATCATCCAGTTCCAACACCCCTGCCATGGGCAGGGACACCTCGCACTAAACCATGTCACCCAAGGCTTTGTCCAATCTGGCCTTGAACACCACCAGGGATGGAGGATTCACAACTTCCCTGGGCAACCCATTCCACTGCCTCACCACCCTAACAGTAAAGAACTTCTTCCTTATATCCAATCTAAACTTCCCCTTTTTAACAGTCCCTAATGAAGAGTCCCTCCCCAGCATCCTTATAGGCCCCCTTCAGATACTGGAAGGCTGCTATGATGACCGTGTATATTCAAAATAGCAGACTGAGGAGACTTCATACCTACAGATTTCAATGTTTAAGAAATTTAAGCATTCCCCAGGTACCGGGTAAATATACAGAAGAGTTCTTATGTCCACCAGGACTGAAGAAGAAGTGCATTTGTAATAGTTTGCTCTGCTAAGGTTATACGGTTGTATGCCCTGGGATTACTGCCAGAAGAGAATTACAGAATCAGATCACTACAGACTTAAGAGATACTTTGCATTCATTCATGTATATTGTTGTGTCTGAGTCTTTTTATGGAACTTTCCAAGCAAAAGCTGGATTCAAAAAAAGCAACTACAAAGATATTATATACTTCAGTTTTGCAAAACTGTGGTATCTCACAAGCACACACTGAGGGCCTTAACACTCTGGTTGCAGCACAGATGCTAAATGGATTAAAATCTTTCCCTGCCCTGAAACCAGATGTCAGTGAAGAATCAAACAGCAGGAGTCCATCAAGGGTCTAGGAAAATCACTTCTAGCCTAGACCTAACCATTTCCAACTTCTCCATCAACAGGCAGGAGATAACATTTTACTCTTGATAAAATCCATGGGTGACGAAGGCTGTCACAGTACCGAGCAAAGCTGCAATGACAAAATAATGGCAAATCATGAAAAACCACTGAATGGAACTGAGCAGTCACCAAGGGACCTCCTGCTGGGCTTAAACAGGCCTGCTTAATAAAGCCAACCCCCTGAAGTCATTGCTCTAGAAGCAGGAACAAAAGCAATTCTTGCAAAATATGATGAAGAGCAGTGTCTGACAACTAGTATAACATGTACTCCCAGCATAAAGCAGGGCAAAAAGAGCTAAATGAAGAAGGCAGGTCATTGTACCTTAGAAAACAGTACTTGCCTCTAGATTTTGCTTTCACATTTTTAGAAGGAAAACTGGGAAGTTTGAAGTGGAAGAAAAAAAGAGGATTCGTTGAAATACAAAAAAAACACCATTAGCATTTCTTTCAATTATCTGAGAAGGGTTTGAGAACATGTACAGGAGCCACAGGGTTTACTGGCAATTCCCATTTTAGCCCTCACTCAGGCTAGCCAAAAACTGAGACAGATTGAAGATCTTCATTTAAGGACAGCAATGCTAAGTCAGACAAATCTACAGTTAAACCGGATTTTGCCTAGGATACAGGTGAATAAAGATCACCTATGGAAGAGTAGGAGAAATCTCCCAGCTTCCCGCAGTTTTCACCTTAGGGATTTTCTCAGCCAGGGAAGTTGCATTACATTTAACAGTATTCAGCACATTCTTTTTCATTAATCTTTTTAAGATGATTCCTGGACAATTAAGTTTTTATCCTTTAATATTCCATGGCCAGGAGCCCCGCAGTTTAACTGCACCCTGTGTTAAGAGCTGTGTTCTTGCATTAGCTTGGAACAAACCTTTTGTAAGTTTCATTTGATGGTCCCCAGTTCTCACACTACAATATAAAGTGAACAACTGTTCTTTCATCAGTGAAATCAGTTTCATTAGGTAGCACAGTAATATTAACTATATACTGCAGCAATAACCTGAACTTATTAGTCTTATTCCTATCTTGTGTTTTTGTTAATTGTAATTCAAGAATTATTGCTTAACAGCTGAAGACAGGATATAGACTTACAAAGCTCCCACTAGCATTGCTCCTGTCATTAGGCATACTCTAGAAACTGAACTCTCTGTTATTTCAGGAACCAATGTGGAAATAAGGATGAGGAAAAGCTGAACTCGAAAGGTAAGAAATATGGAAAAAAACCCCAACATTATGAAAGGCTACAATGCAGTGACAATGTAGTTCAAAGGATTAATTAATAAAAGAGAATAACATATACAAAGTAACTCTGGGAACAGATAGGGCAAGTACATATAAGATTGACATGGCATGACAACTACATTAGTGCAGAAAACTGGAAACTTAGTCATTAAGAGCAATTAAATGAGGTGCTTTATTGCACATGCTATACCATGACGCTTACTGTCACACAGAATTCAACAGGATGGTGGAATCTGGAAAGGGATCAGGTGGCTGTCTAGGCAAAGGCTCTCTACAGTTACTCAGCAAAGTGTAGAGGACCTCAGTATCTTCTGCTTCAGGACATCATAAACATAAAGCTCACTGTTTTGAGGCTTAAACGTTTCTTAAAGAGAGGAAGGGTGAAACGCCGCACAAGGGACATGCTCAAGGGCACGCCGCGAATTCAGATGCCTCACGCTTCCAACGCCTGACTCCAAAATCACACGCACTATTTAAATCCAAAGAAGACATGCAGGAATCTCAGCCACGCGGTGGTGGAGGGTTGGTGGCCTCCTAAGGACAAGGATGCTCCACCATTCGTCTCCCTCAAGAGGCCTTGCGGTGCCCCACGGTCCCCCGCTCAGCACCCCAGCTCCCTCAGCTCCGAGGAGCTCAGGCTGGGTGAAACAGCCCTCTTGACTCACAGGGGGACTCCCCTTCTCCCCACACTGCAGAGCCATACACTCACCCGGCGCGGAGGTGTCAGAGCCACACCGATGCGTCTGCATTCGAACGGGGCACAGCAAAGGCAGCGCGGGTGAGGCCCGCGGGGCACAGGCACTGTCAGCATGGGGGAAGGCAGAGGGCTCCGGGGTCCTTCTCTCCTCCCTCCCCGCCTCTTTGCAACCGCGGGCCCGCAGTCCGCGTCCGCACCCCGAGGCCCGCCAGTGTGTGGTGGTGGTGAGGGCCGCCGCAGGCCTCGCTCCCGAGGGCAGGCAGGACGCGGGGAGTCCCCCGCTGCGCGGCGGCGGCTGCAGAGAGACCCCGGCCTGGCAGCAGGCGGGAGCAGAGGACGGGCCCGGCGCAACCCGGGAGAGAGGACGCCATGGCCGCGGGGCCCGAGCCGCCCCATGGGAAGGAGGACGAACCGCGGGCCCGGCGAGGCTCCGCGCCTACGGCAGCCTCGGGCCATCCCGGCCGCGTATCCCGGGCAGAAGCCGCCGCGTCCACTCACCCTCCAGCGATCAGGTGGAGCAGGGTGCTGTGCTGCAGCATGGCCTGGCGCTCTGCAGGGACACCCGCGCCGCCCCGCGCATCGGCTGCTGGCAGGTAGCGGGGCCTGGCCCGGCAGAGGCGGGGCGGCGGGAGCGGTGCGAGGGGAAGTGGCCGTGCAGTGGGCTCCGGGCCCAGGCCGTGCCTTGGGGCTTGACCTAAGGCTCCCTCCTCCGCGCTCCGTGTTCCTGTGCTCCCGTTTCCCTCCGTGCAGACTTTAGGGTGCACACAGGCAAAGCCCAGTCTTTCCTGACTCTCATTCTCACTCAGTGGGAGCACAGATGTTTCCTCTGATACTTGGTTTTGTATGAGAACAGGCCAGTGTTTCAGACAAAAAGACACTCAGAGCAAATTATAACCGTGATTTCAAAGGGCAGAGGACCAGTATGTCAAAGGTGGGGAATATTCAGGACGAAAAGATCCTCTGCTGCTTTTGCAAATGCAAAGTTTCATGCGGTATCAGAGCTCACAGAGTATCATCTTCCTCGGAAAAAAAAACAACAGAATGGACATCAACATGCTGTTGCCAACCAGGCACACATCATACCGGTTTGTATGGCTAGAAGGATAACCAGTAGGTCACATGAAATAAGCTGTCTGATCAAATGTGCTATTGTGAGTGACAGCACTGGCTGACACAGAACTGAGTATCCAGTACATGCTGCTACAAAACAGGCAAATATGGGGGAGTGAACCCACTGAGGGGAACAACCTCTCTAGGCCATCCAAGCAGGAGGATTGAAAAGGCTTGCAGTATGTAGTCTAGTGAGGAAGGAATTGAGGGAAACATGCAACTTCAAGTAAGTACAAAGATACTTCAAACAGGAAATGAATGATTGCCTTATCTGTGGTGGAGGGGAAAAGAACAATCAGCCCATCACTAATGCCTGTCACTACATGGGCAGTGAGGGGAAGACCAGTAAAAGGACTGGCCTTCTGAAATGGAAAATGGACCAAAGATGCCGGGAAGTTGCAAGTATTTCTCACTTGTCTTCACTGGGATGGTAGTTAAATAGCACCAGTGACAAGTGCACGAAAAGTCATTCTAGATTTGTAAGTGATTAGGCAAAGCCAATGCTTTCAGACCGGTTAGGCTTGATTCATCCCATGATAGTTGGTGAATTGGCTGAAGCCACATCAGGTGCACTGGCAGTTACCTTTTTGATGTCTAGAGAATGGAAACGTTCAGAAGACTGCAAAAGGCCAAATATGTTGGCTATTCAAACAAACAAAAAGATCTGAGGAACTACTGGCTAGCCAATATTACTTCTAGAGCTTATCTGAAGCCATCACATACTTTTCAGCTAAACGCAGGTGCTTTTAACCTGTTACCGGCAGCTGCAAACATCGTTGTGATCCCGGAGCATATGCCAAAAGAGCAGTCCGTCAGCCAGATGAACGTGTGCTGTTCAGATATTACGAGAAAGTCCTGTTCTCTCCGTGCCTTAACAACGACATTGCTTGAGCCAGAGCCCTGTAGCTGCCTGTAGGGTGGGCTGTCAGTGCAAAAACCGCTTAACGCGTGTCAGCAGCTCAACAGGACACCAACACCGTGACAGAACTGCTGCTCTGCATCTCCTGAGCGTATCCGTTGACTCCCTAACATGGCTTTAACGATGTACTGTAACGTTACACACACTTGTGCAGTGTACGTGCACGCTATACACACACCGTTTTGCTCCAGCGGTGGGCAGGAGGGACTGCAGAGCCCGCGCTAGTGTGCCCTCCTCTCCGCGACAAGTGCTGGGAGCTGGCCCAGGAGCTGCAGGAGAAGGGCGGGCAGCCACCTTGGGAACGGCGCCCGGCGACACGGAGAGGCTCCACACTTCCCTCCTGCCCCCGGTCGCAGCTCCAGCTGTACCGTCAAGCTGCGGGACAGAACAGCAACAATCAACCCTCTAAACCCCGGCAGGGCGCGGGCGTCTGGCCCTTTAAGGCACTCTGGTGCGGTGCTCGTGGGGTGCCTGGCCCTTTAAGAGCTGGCCCCGCCCCACCCCGTGAGTCCCGCGAGCCCTGGTAGTCCCAGGTACGGTGCCGGCCGGGGGGACCTCATCGACCCGCACCGTCCCCTCCCCTCCGCCCGCGTGGGGCGGGCAGTGCCGGGCCAGGGGTCCGGGAGGTCGGCGCCGGGGGCGGGTGGGGTTTGTTGTTGGGGGCGCGGCGCGGCCTTGCTGTCCTCGCGAGCGGGTGTCTTCTGCCGGGCCGGCCCGGCGGCGGGCGGTGGTTGGGGCAGGGCGGAGGGAGCTGGGAAGGGGGTCCCCGCTCCCCGCGGCAGCCGGTGGCGGGAGGCTCTTGGCGGCAACGGCAGCTGTGCCCACCCGGGCTGCGCTGGCAGCCCGCGGGTTCTCTGGTGCCGTGGCGGTATGCGCCTGAGTCCGACTTCTGCCCATGCGGACTCTGGCCCAAGCTCGGCACCTCCCCGCCCGCGCAGGTGGGGGTTGTGGTCGGGCTGTCTCCGCAGGCTCCTGGACCCGCAGGGAAGGGCGGGCGGGCAAGCAGGTGGCCGCCGGTTCGGGGTCCGGGGCAGGCGGTGAGTGTCCCCGGCAGCCTGCCGCTGCGCCTGGCGTTCACCCGGTGTCTGTGCCGCCCCGGGGCTAGGTGCAGGCACAGTGGGGTTCGCCACCGACCCTCCCTTCCTCCCTGCCTGGCGCCATGGCCATGAGGGAGCTGGTGGAACCGGAGTGCGGGGGCTCCAACCCCCTCATGAAGCTGGCCGGCCACTTCACCCAGGACAAAGCCTTGCGGCAGGAAGGACTTCAGGGCCCGCTGGCCTGGCCCCCTGGGGCTCCAGGAGCTGCTGCAGCCGTGAGTGTTGCCTTTCACTCTGCTTGCTGAGCTGGGGCTGGATGTGGGGCCAGTGTCTGTGTCAGCCCACAGGGTATAGGGGTGTGCTGGCGGAATAGGGCTGTGGCATGAGCGGTACCGGGATTTTTGGTGCACATAGGTGCAGTGTTGCTTTTTTTCTAGGTAAAAAGACCATGGAGTCATGCGTTTTGTCCTGTAGGGTTGTGGGGTGAGGGGCCGTTTGTGGGAATTATCTATGTGTGCTAGGAGCATGTTGATGGCTATGGTGAGGTGTGTGTCTTACAGGCCCCGACACTGAAGGTGGTGGGAGAGGGTTTGGACAGTGTCACTCAAGATATTCCAGCTCCTTTAGCTTCCACATAAACATGCAGCTAATGCAAGAAAATGCTGATAGCCTAATGCTGAGGAAGATGTAAACTAATCGGGTTATAAGGTGTTTGGGGAGAAGGGTATGAGGACAAAGCCATTGGGATAATTGCCCGCTATTCCCTGTAGGCACCCAAACCGCTGGGAGTGGCCACTGAAGATGAGGTAAGAACAGACTGATCCATCTCCTTACTTCTTTTTTCATCAATACTGTTTGTTATTTTTCCCCTTACCTGATATTAATCTTTCCTTCTGACAAGCCCATTCTTTTTTCTCATGCTCCATATTCTGCCTGTTTGTTTTCTATGTTTGTAATCTGTCTCTGTCTTTGGCAGCTGGTTGGAGAGTTCCTGCAGGAGCAGAATGCCCCTTTACTCTCCCGTGCACCCCAGACCTTTAAGATGGATGACCTGTTGGCTGAGATGCAAGAGATTGAGCAGTCAAGCTTCCGACAGGCCCCTCAGCGAGGTGAGGGGAGCTAGAGTAGGTGAAGAGCTGGAGAAGATCATGGTGTTATGGTTAAGCTCCTTGCAGGGTGGTACCCATCTAATCAGCACTTGTGAGATTGTATCCAGATTTGGGCTTCCCAGTATGCTAATGTACTGAGGCAAGGCCAGTGGATAGTGTTCAGGGATTAGGAAACATAGCGTAAGTGGAAAGCCTGATGAAATTTGGTTTGTTCAGCATAGGAAAGAGGGGTCTCCTTAGGGCAGGGAAGTTGGAGTGTCTAACTGCTGTCTTCAGCAGCTGCAGCCAGAATCTTTGCAGTGTTAAATAGTGGAAAGACAAGGGGCAATGGACATAGCTTGTGGAAGGGGGACCTGACTAGCTGTAAGAAAGCATTTCTTCTCTCGGAGGGTGGTTCAGTACTGGAGCAGGTGCCTAGGAGGCTGGGTAATTGCTAGCTTTTGACAAATACAGAGGTTAGCTGATGAATGCCCTGAGCAACCTAATCCTTGCCTTTAGTGTTAACCTACTGTGAAAACACTAGCAACCCCCAGAGCCTGCTTCCAAGTAGAATCTTTCTGTGATTTTATTCTTAACAAAGAGAAAGGGCAAGATGAGAGATGATGAGGGAACACTCAAATGATGCCTTTGAGTGCCCCAGTCCTCACTTGTTTTTTTTCTTCTTGTAGCTCCAGGTGTGGCAGCTCTGGCACTGTCTGAAAACTGGACCCAGGAATTCTTGGCTGCAGCAGATAGTGCTGGTGATGTCTCTTCAGATTATAATGAGGCTGACTGGTCACAGGAGTTCATTGCTGAAGTGACAGGTAAATGCTCCTATTTGGAATTACTGTTGATGTTGCCCAGCCACGTGCTAGCATATAGTGGAGAATTACTGGATGTGGAATTGGAGTAATGCTTTGGGCCCAGCAGTCAGTGTTTACTATAGCAGCTTTGAAGGGGGGGTTGGGAAGGAGGGGAAACCCACCTGCTTTGTGATAGCTTAGCTGAGTTGTGAACAGTGTGGTGTAGAGGCTTTTATTCGGGTGTAAAGGTCTTTTATTTTTAGCTTGGGTTACTTGGAGAGCTTAGGAGAAGCAGGCTATTCAAAATGCTTCTATAAAAATTGTGAGGGTTCAGCTGATGGAAGTTCTGCAGATGGTCTGGTTCCACTTCTCGCTTACATATTCTCTAATTCCCTCTCTTAAGGCTAAATTTGCCTTTGTTACAAACGTAAATATTGCTTAATGTGCTTTGGCCAAATACTTTGTATCAGTTTCATGGAAGTAGAGGGATTTTGCGCTTTGGAAATATGCAAAATGAGTATTTCTGTCCCAAAGGTTAAGCTTCCTGTTTCAAGCAAGCCAGCAGTTTATCCAAAAAAGCCATCCGGCATTGTATATAGAGATGAGGCTGTTATAGGGTCCTGTTACCATCCACAAGCTAA